GGCTGCTGGTTAAGAGACTTCTCAGGCCCCAAACCTGTAAACCCAACCTCAAGGGTGGCTGTTCTCTCAGAGCTGACCCAGGTGCTGTTTCTGCAGAGAGCTGTCTGGGAAGAACTAGTGCTCATTAAATTTTGTTAGCACTTTCGTTTCTATTTCCTGTGTGGTCACCTTCCTGCAGACAGTACCTGCAAGAGAGGGTTCACAGAAAGGAAATGCAGGTCAGCAGAAGCCCTAGATCTCGTCTCAGTTGGCAGCCTACGTGCCTTCTCAGCCTGGGGCTTTAGAGAGGTTATGGAATCCAAGCACTGGCCGTTGCCTGTGTCAAAGCAACAAACAGAGAAAAAGGAGATGAGAGAGGGTGAAAGAAGTCAGGCCCAGCCCATCTCCACTCCAACTTCTCTGACATGGGGGTGGTGTCCAAAAGCTAAAGAGCAAATCAGATATCCTCGGCAACAGAGCATCTACATATGCACAAACAATAGCAGTCCAAATAATAGCTGGGCTAGGAACAGCTCCTTGCAAGATAGAAGGCAGACTGCCACATGCTATCAACTACGTTATTTTCACCTCATTAGACAAGATTGAACCCTCAGCCAGAGCCACGGGAAACATGCCTTCAGTAGCATCACCACCGCTTTACACATTGTGACATGCACTCATGTCTCCACGGTCCAGCTCAGACAGCCGCCATCCCTCTGTGAAGGCGTGGCTAGATGTCAGACAAGCAAAAGGCTTTTTGGAAGAAAGAACATTATCATGCCCAAGCATGCCTTGAGAGTTGAAAGCCATGACAATCTAAAAAACAGAGTAATTGGACTTCTGCTAGATTTCTAACAAGACTGCTTTCTCCCTAGCTTTGAATTTTTGACAATAATGCTCAGCACTGATTTTTAAAATAGTTTCATGGCTGGGATTTTAAAGCTATCACAGCCTCTCAGTACTACCAACTTCGCTTCTTTTTGTGTCAATTCTCTAACACTTGGAATAATAATCAGATACCATTGCCACAGGGTACCTACCCACCATGCTTTCCTTCAGTCAGGAGTAGTTGGGGGGGCTTACGGTGTGCATGTGCGTGATGTGGTGTGGTATGTGTGTGCGTGTTTGGTGTGGTGTGTGTGTGGTGTGTGTGTGTGTGATGTGTGTGTATGTGTGGTGTGTGTGTGGTGTGTGGGTGTGTATGGTGTGGTGTGTGTTTGTGTGTGTGTGGTATGTGTGTGGTGTGTGGGTGTGTGTAGTGTTTATGTGTGTGTGGTATGTGGGTGGTGTGTGTGTGTGTGTGATGGTGTGTGTGTATGGTGGTGTGTGTGTGTGTGTATGGTGTGGTGTGTGTGTGGTGTTTGTGTGTGTATATGTGGTATGTATGTGTATGGTGTGGTGTGTGGGTGTGTGGTGTGTAAGTATGTGTGGTGTTTGTGTGTGTATGGTATGTGTGTGGTATGTGGGTGTGTGGTGTGTGTGTATGGTGTAGTATGTGTGTGTGGCATTTGTGTGTGGTGTATGAGTATGTGTGGTGTTTGTGTGTGTATGGTATGTGTGTGGTTTGTGGATGTGTGGTATGTGTGTATGGTGTGGTGTGTGTGGCATTTGTGTGTGTATGGTATGTGTGTGGTATGTGGGTGTGTGGTGTGTGTGTGGTGTTTGTGTGTGTATGGTATGTGTGTGGTATGTGGGTGTGTGGTGTGTGTATGGTGTGGTGTGTGTGTGTGGCATTTGTGTGTATGGTATGTGTGTAGTATGTGGGTGTGTGGTGTGTGTGTATGGTGTGGTGTGTGTGTGTGGCATTTGTGTGTATGGTATGTGTGTAGTATGTGGGTGTGTGGTGTGTGTGTATGGTGTGGTGTGTGTGTGTGGCGTTTGTGTGTGGTATGTGTGTGGTGTGTGAGTATGTGTGGTGTTTGTGTGTTTATGGTATGTTTGGGGTGTGTGAGTGTGTGTGGTATGTGTGTGTATGGTGTGTGTGTATGTGTGTGGTATATGTGGCATGTGGGTGTATTTGTGTATGGTGTGGTGTGTGTGTGTGTGGTGTTTGTGTGTGTGGTATATGTGTGGCATGTGGGTATATGTGTGTATGGTGTGTGTGTGTGTGTGTGTGTGTGTGTGTGTGTGGTATGTATATATATGCATGGTATGTGTGGTATTTGTGTGTGTGGTATGTGTATGGTGTGTGGGGGTGTGTGGGGGTGTGGCTTGTGATTAGGCTTGCAGGCCACACCCAGGAGGAGTCCAGAGGTCAATACTGGGTGTCCTCTTTATCACTTTCACTGAGCCTGGAAGCCATTGCTGTGGCTAGACTGCCTGCCAGAGAGCTCAAGGGAGCCACCTGTCTTCTCATTCCCCCACACTATGATGACAGGCACACACTGTCGTGCCCAGTTGTTATGTGGGTGATGGGGATTGAAGACATGGTCCTCATATTTACACAGTGTGGCAGTTTGAAAGAAAAATGGCCCCTACAGGCTCATGTATTTGAACAATTGGTCCCCAGCTGGTGGCACTCTTCAGGGAGGTAATGGAACTCTTATGACATTTGGAACCTTGGTGTAGGAAGCACAATACTGGGGTGATTTGACAATGACTAGCCTGGCCCCACTTCCAGCTCACTTGCTGTTTCCTGTGAAACGTGACCCGCCAGCTTCCGGCCTGTGTCCCCTTCCACTACGGACTCTAACCCTCTAGAACTGCAAGCCAAAACAAACATTCTTTTTTAAGTTTCTCCTGGACATAACTTTTTATCACAGCAACAGAAAGTAGCTAATACACACACAGCCAGTACTCTACTCACCAGGCCATCTCCCCAAGCCTCCGGTCTGGTATCTAAACAGCTGTCTAGTTCAGACAGGATGTGTCCCATCATCATCATCTCTGGGTCCAGATTTACACTCTGCTGCTTTTTTTTCTCACATTGTAATTAAAACCACACAACCAATAATATTCAGTGATATAAAGAATGAAATTCTGATACATGCCACACAATGGATGAACCCCCAAAACACACTCAAAGAGATGAGCCACACAAAAGAACCTATGATACCACACATGAGGTAGCTAGAGTCGTACAGACATGAAGAGTGTGGGTTACCTGCAACTGGAAGGATGGGAATGCACAGCTGCTGTCCAGGGGTAGTTTCAGCTTCGGGAAACAGATGGTGGTCGCTTTCACAATCAGGCCTGTCGTACCTATGCTGCTGCTATTTTACAACGACAACAACAGAACTACAATGGAAGCTGAAGGGATGTCTGGGGCAGTGCTGTTTAAGCATGAGGACCTGATTTTGGGCCTCAGAACTTTGGGCCACATAAAGAAGCCAGGGATTACGGTACACACCTGTAATCCAGGGGCAGAGAGACAGGAAGATCACTGGGGCTCACTGGCCAGCCAGTTTAGCAAATTGGTAAATTCTAAGTATGGTAAAAGAGCCTGTCTCGAAAAATGTTAAAATCCATTTCTGCTCCTGCAGTGAATCCAGTTTTGGTTCACAGCACCCACATGGTAGCTCATAACCATCTGTAGCATCCCAGGGAATCTGATGCCCTCTTCTGACTGCCAGAGGAATCAGGCACTCACATGATATATATATATATATATGTGTGTGTGTGTGTGTGTGTGTGTGTGTGTGTGTGTGTGTGTGTGTGTGTGTGTGTGTATGCAAATGCTCATACACAAGAATAATAAAATTAAGTATTTTTTAAAATACCTGACGTTAAGCAACCATCAAGTAAGACACTCAACATGAAATCTGACCCACCCACATGTGTACACACACACACTAACTACAATGAATCAAAAGAGAACCAAAACTTGACTCAGTTCTTCAGTGAATAACACACAAAAGAAAGTGAGCAGATCCCTAGCCATGAATGCAGATGAGCATTTCCTACAGTGAGAACAGGTGCCCACTCACAGAGTCCAGGGAATGAGCTCAGAGGACTGAGTATTCATTCCCTTCCCCTCAAATGCATCAAATAGGCATCTCACTTAGTGCTTTATGCTTAGAAGATACTCAAGTAATGTTACCACATATTTCATTCTGAGGATAGCCAGCAATGAGTCCAGGCAGAGCAATGCCCATCTCTTGGTTTTGTTTTTTGTTTTGCACTTGCTGCCTTTGCCAAACTGTGGCCCATGTCTTGTTATTGTGTTAGCTAGACCCTACAGAACCTGCCATCATCCCCCCGGGCCAAGAAAACACGTGGAAGTATTCCAACACCACTGCAAAGAGAAGCCACCAGCGACTGTGGAAAAAAGCCAAGACAGACGCGGCATCACAATAGGAAAGACAGCCACAGAACAGTAGGAGTATCTTTCCAGAATAGATGGTGGTGTCCATCAGAAATCAGCCGCTGCTTGAATTTAGTTTCATTTCAGTAACGGCTTCCCCTCACTGACAGCTGCATCTTCCAGCACCCTCATTAGTGTCTTCAGACTTCACTTTCCAGGCAACAGAATACATACATTTAGATTTTTTTTTTTTTTTTTTTTTGAGAGACGCTGTTGGATTTGGATGTTCCTCCTGCAAACAGCACACAGTGAGAGACCACACTGGAGTACTTCAAGCTGCTCTACGGTTCTCTCTGAAGCATCTGTCAGGAGCCCTCAGACTCTCTAACATGAAGTACTCTTCTAGCACTGGGAAAAAGGCATCCCCCACTCCCGTCATTCCTCACACTCCTATTATAATCATCAAGATTGGAGGCAGAGGGTCAGCAAGATGGCTCAGTGGGTAAAGACACTTGCTGCCAAGCCTAATGACCACATTTATCATTGACACAGTGAAGTAACCCCACCCATAGCTTGACCAGACATCTCATCACAATCTCCTCCCTAAACTTCACATTCTTTTTGCTGTTTGTGCTAATTATAAATTTGACAGCCATTTGTCATAAGAGCACTCAGGAGGGAAGATGAGTTCAACTGCCAGTACCTCCAGTACTACCAAGGCAAACATAAACATGCTTACTAGAAACGAACTGAGTAAACAGAAATTCAATAGCATTGGTTCACTGAACGTTGTTTACTAAATATTTATTAATTCGTTACTATATCTCGAGGCTCTGTTAAATATGCACATCAACGATACTAATGAGGCGGAGGAAGGAGAATCACAAGTTCATGGCCAGCAAACTGCAAGGTAAGATTCTGTTTTGTTATAAGTGTGATACATCAAATAAAGCAGAGTTACACTGGATAAGATGAAATATAATCAAGCTGGGGGCTAGGAAGACAAGTTCATAAGCAGCATCTGTGTTCAGATCCCCAGCACACACTCATACATGTGCACACACTAATACATTTTTTTAAAAGACAAAAGCTGATTATACAAAAGTTTTAACAGTATGGAGAATGAACGAGAGAGAGACCTGATGTTGACCTCTGCCTCCACACAAGCACACACACACACACACACACACACACACACACACACACACACACGCATGTACACACGTATACAAAAAGAGATGATTAAACTAAACTCTACATTCTAAGTCAGGAATCATCAAACTTCTGTCAACGGCCAAATGGCCTCACACTCTTGGTCACAACAGTGCCTCTGATGCATGCAACCAAGCTGTGCTCCAGGACAACTGGATGAGGCCCACAGAAAGGAGCTCTGCCTCTGCAGTGCTGGAGACTTGGGCTCAAGGCCTCCTGCACACCCAGTGAGGGCTCTACCTACCACTGGGCCACACCCTTGCCTCACACTTTGAGTGCCACAGGATTTTCTCGTGTCCTTTAACTCTTCTAATGTGTTCTACTCCCTGACCACTAAAAAAGAGTCAATTCTTGGTCTGAGGACCCAACAGGTGGTGGGTCACAATGGCTCCTCAGACTCACTACTGACTGCTCTCCCAAGTTTATGGCCTGAAGGACTATTCAAAAGATGTCCTCACTTGCAGACTTGTCCAATTTTGGTTATTGAGATAGAGTCATGCTACATAATCCTAGTCTTAAAACTCTGGATCACCCTGCCCCAGCCTCTGGAATGCTGAGATTACACACACGTGTTGCCACCTCAAGCTGAAGCTGACTCTCTCTCTCTCTCTCTCTCTCTCTCTCTCTCTCTTCTCCCCTCTCTCCTTCCCTCCATGTATGTGTGTGTGTGCGTGTGTACTTGAGCCATGACACATGTGCAAAGTGGTGGTCAGAGGACAGCTGTGAAGTGCTGTCTCCTCCTACATTCCCTTGGGTTCTGGGGATTAAACTGAGGTCACCAGGCCTACACCACACACATCTTTAGCTAAGGAGCCATCTGCTGGCCTTGATTCCACTTCTTAAAAGAAAATTAAACATTTGAATGAAAGGTAGTGCTAGCTTCTTGATAGCTTGCTCTAATATGAAACACTTTATTGGGCAATTTGTTTGTTTGTTTTGTTGATACATAGTCTTGCTGTGTAGCTCAGACTAGCCAAGACCTTTCAATCTTCTTGCCTTGCCTCCAAAGTGCTGGGATTACAGACATGTTCTACCACACCTGGACCTGGTTAATTTCTTCTGACAATTCCTATTATTATTATTATTATTATTACCGGGTTTTTTTTTGAGACAGGGTCCCACTATATAGCCTTGGGTGGCCTGGAGCTCACTATGTAAACTAGGCTGGTTCTGAACTCACAGAGATCCAACTACTTCTGGTATTAAAGTATATATGGCTATGCCTGGAATACTTTTTTTTAAAGGTTCCCAATTCCCTGATAAATTCTAAGCTTGGCTTTTGCTTTTGTTTCTTTGAGCACAATCCAAGTCGGCCACTCTGCTGCGTTGTATCTTCGTGAGTTGTTAGAGATCTGTTTGTTATGAGTGGTTTCCTAAATGCCTAGTCTTCACTGATTGCTTACTGGCCACACTGGGGAAGAAAGTTCTTTGAAGAACTGCTACCCAAGAGAAGGGACAGTCTATTCTTCCAGAGAGGAATTTCATTTGCCGTTGCTGTAGACCTGGGAATACTACTGTTCAAAACCTCCTGACATGAGCTCAAGACCACAGGGTCCCCATGTCTTCTTTTAGAACCAAATAATGAATTACATTTTTTGTATTTTGAGGTGGAGCCTCACTATATAGCTCAGGCTAGTCCTGAACTCATGATATAGCCCAAGTTGACCTCAAACTGATGCAATCTTCCTGCCTCAGCCTCTCATGTGCTGAGACAGCAAGCCCAGCTGAAATAATTTCTGCACTGTCTAAGGATCTTTGCTGTCAGCTTTCACCCATTTTCTTTCCCTTTTGCTCAGATTTCCTTGATTTCTCTTCCAGCCCTGATAGAACACATGTATGAACCAGTGTATACATTTGTCTCTTTCTCCCTTTCATAAAATCTTATCTTTATACACAAGAAAAATCCTCCGGAGAATTGTTTCTCCCATGCCTAGGTCATGTGACTGTCAAGAATACTTTGGCTCCTTCTGATAGCACGGACAGAGCTATTCCAAAACAGCAGCATGTAAAGTGAGCTGCATTTCGTATGTAAGCAGGAAGACCCTGCTGTGTCATCTGTATGTATGACAGATGGGAAACTCTGAAATTACTCAATAAAGGTTGGAAACTTACAAGCCATGATAGATGCACTATCGGGTCTTAACATCAACAAAAATAAAACAACCAACAGCCAAGGAGAAACACAGATAATTAGCATAACTGCAGGAAAAACCTTCAAAATTTATCAACATGTACACTGTATTTTCCAAGGGCATTTGCTTTATCTAGCAGAATTTAGTCATTATGTATGAAATCAATAAAGACAATTTACCGAAAAGAAAAACAAAAAAGAATAGAAAAAAGATGAGAGAAGTGGCATCTGCTCTGTGACTTTACTAAATAAGAATGTCAACTCCTAGGGGCTGGAGATATAGCTCGCCTTGTACAGTGCTGGTCTAACTGGCACAAAGCTGTGTCTTCCATCCCAGCATTTTAACCCGGGGAGTGGTGCACACCTGTAATCCTAGCACTTGGAAGGTGGAAGCCAGGGGATCAGAAGGTCAAATTCATCCGTGGTTACACAGTGGCGTTTAAGGCTACTTGTCTTTTTCCACAGTCAGAGGCATATCAGGAAGCAAAGATGACACCGTATGCAGCATGAACCTGGAGACAGTGACTTGACCCAGTGCAGCTGGCAGCTGCTTATCGGGTACTGCGATGGATTCAGTGATCAGCCAAGAACTTTCAGAAAAGTTTGAGCTTTGAGAGAAAAAATTAAAAAGCCAAGTAACTAGAGCTAAGAATTGAATTGTACAGAACTATATAATAAATACAATTCTCTTCTTCAAGTAAGAATTTAATTTCTAGTGCTTTTTCTTTGCGATCAACATTTTATGTATTTATATCTTATTTACTTGAGACAGGGTCTCAGAAGCTGGCCTCAAACTCTTGATCATTCTGCCTCAACTTCACAAGTGCTAAAATTACAGGCATGTACCACCACACCTGGTTCATATGGTACTGGGGATCAAATCCAGCACATGTCAGGCAAGCAATCTACCCCGACTGAGTTATATCTCTAGCCCTCAATAAACATTTTTTTTTTCCCCAAACAGGGTTTCTCCATGTAGCCCTTGTTGTCCTGAACTCACTCTGTAGACCAGGCTGGCCTTGAACTCACAGAGATCTACCTGCCTTTGCCTTCCGAGTGCTGGATTTAAAGGCTTGTGCCACTGCACAGCAACATGTTTTTTAAAAGCTTTGAGTCTTCTGGGTTTTGGTCCACCATGAAAGAGTTTAGCAATCAACCTTCCATACTAAAAACAAGTAAGAGCCAGTTAGACAGCTCAGCAGATAATAAAAGCTCTTGCCTTGCAAACCTCAGGACCTGAGTTCAACTGCTGGCTCCACAGTCAGTGGAGGGAACCAATTCTGGAAAGGTGTCTTCTGACTGCCACATGAAAAGCATGATTCATGCATAACTGCACTCATCTCTCTCTCTCTCTCTCTCTCTCTCTCTCTCTCTCTCTCTCTCTCTCTCTCTCTCTCTCTCTCTCTCTCTCTCTCTCTCTCTCTCTCTCTCTCTCTCTCTCTCTCTCTCTCTCTCTCACACACACACACACACACACACACACACATACACACACAAATTAATTAAAAACAAGTAAAAATCTCAATAGGCCAAAAGTCAGTAACTCTTCTTAGACCTCCTGAGAGACACAGGATGTGCAAGAATCACAAGTTATCACAGCATCTAGGAGGAAAAACCTCAGGGAAACAACCTGTTGGAGGTGCTGTGTGGAGCCTGAGTTGAAGCACTGCTGGGTGTGGAGGCTCACACACTTGGGAGGCTGAGGCGGGATGGAGAGCTCAAGGCCAGCCTGAGCTACTTGGGGAGCTACTGTCTCATAAAACACTAGAGCCCAGAACAAAGGGACTTTACAGCTATCATACTTAATGTTGAGAAACCTGACACTTCCCTGCTGAGTCAGGAACAAGGCAAAAAGATGTCCCTTCTCATCCCTGCTTCTCAGACCCATACTCAAAGTATCGGTTAAGAAGAGAGAAAATAAAAGAAATACATATTGGGAAGGAAGCAATATAAATAACTGTTCTTTGTCACAGATGACATGATGGTCTAGGATCTATACTTTAGGTAAAAAAATCCAAAAGCTGGGCATGGTGGTACATGCTTCAATCCCAGCACTCAGGAGGCAGAGGCAGGTGAGTCCAACATTGTCATTTTCTAGTGAGCTAGCCAGGGTTACAAAGTGAGAGTCCTTGCCATAAAAACAAAAACAAACAAACAAAAAACTACAAAACAAACAAGCACAGTAGAGATGCAAGCCTTTAACCCCAGCACTCAGGAGAGGGGGGATGGATTTCTGAGTCTGAGGCCAACATGATCTATACAATGAGCTGTAGGCCAGCCAGAGCTACATAGATTGGGTCTCAAATCTTAGAGACCTCTCTTGGACTTAGTAATAATATCTACCAAGCTTCTAAGACACAAGAGTAATACACAAAACTTAGTTTTATATTTATCGTCAATGAACAATATGAATTTGACATTAAAAATAGAGGCTGGAAGACTGATGGTGATGGTAGAAGTCTTTAATCCCAGAACTCAGGAGACAGAAGCAAACAGATCTCTATGAGTTCGAGGCCTGCCCTGGTCTGCAGAACTAGATCCAGGACAGCCAGAGTTACACAGAGAAACCCTGTCTTGAAAGAAAAAAAAAAAAGCTGGGCGTTGGTGGCACACGCCTTTAATCCCAGCACTTGGGAGGCAGAGGCAGGTAGATCTCTGTGAGTTTGAGGCCAGCCTGGTCTCCAGAGTGAGTGCCAGGATAGTCTCCAAAGCTACACAGAGAAACCCTGTCTCGAAAAAACCAAAAAAAAAAAAAAAAAAGACAAAAAAGGGGAGGGTGGGGCTGGGGCTGGAGAGATGGCTCAGCAGTTAAAAGTACTGGCTATTCTTCCAGAAGACCTGGTTTCGATCCCCAGCACCTACATGGCAGCTCACAACCATCCATAATTCCAGTTCTGTGGGGTCCAACAACCTCTTCTGGTCTCCCAGGGTATCAGGAATGCATGTAGTACACAGGCATACATGCAGGCACAAATAAAATTAAATAAATCTCTTTAAAGTTAAAAAGATTACAAATACGGGGCTAGAGAGATGGCTCAGAAGTTAAGAACACTGGCTGCTCTTCCAGAGGTCTTGAGTTCAAACCCCAGCAACCACATGGTGGCTCACAACCATCCGTAATGAGATCTGGTGCCCTCTTCTGGCCTGCAAGCATACGTGGAGGCAGAATGTTGTATACATAATAAATAAATAAATAAATAAATAAATAAATAAAATCTTAAAAGAAAAAGATTACAAATACAATATCATCTATATTCACACCCAAAAGAAAGGATACAAAGCTAACAAAATTAAGTAATATCTACCTGAGGAGAACCACAAAACTCTATTTAAAAAAAAAAAAAAAAACCTAAAAAACTCATGGATACATCCAACTTGATCCATTGATTTAAAACAACCTCAGTCAAACCTGGGGGCAGGGGGATGAACCTATGGCTATCAACAAACAGATTCTAAAGTTTATTTAGAAAGAAAAAATCCAAATACCCAAATCAATACCAAAACAGGGGGGAAAAAAAAAAAAAAGCAAGCAGCTCTCCTTTATGCCGCACACAGCAGCTCTCTCTCTGCTATGGAAGCTGCTCTCCAGACTTTGGAAGGGCAGTGTCTCTCTCTTCCTTCATGGCCCCTCAGACTGCCTCTGGGACGATGCTGCACCCTCCCCAGTTGCTCTCTGACTTCAGGCCTGATTATACCTCCCCACCATGGTCACAAGGCTCTCTTGTAATAACATTCACTTCTAAAAGGCATAAATAAATAAATAAATAAATAAATAAATAAACAAACAGACAGATAAATGGAACACATTTAGCCTTTCTGATTTCCTCTCAGGGATTCTAAGGAATGAAAATGGAATCAAATGAGAAAGAATAAAACACTGGGATAACTCTAGTTCATATCTAACTCTAGTCTCAGTGAGGCAGAAGCAACTGAAACCGTATTTTAGAGAAACTATTAAAAAATAATGTACCCAGTTTAATGCTGCCAGTCTCCTAAGTTAAAGCATTCTCATAATAAATTAGTCTCTCTCAGCTTGCCATATACATTTTTCATATTTTTTTTCCTGGTTTTGTTTTTGAGAGAGTCACATTCTATAGCCTAAGGTGGCCCGGAACCATTATGGAGCCCAGAATGGCCTTAAACATATGGCAATCCTTCTGCCTCAGTTCCCACTCCCAAGTGCTAGGGTCACATACCAGTTACCACATCAGGATTAGCATAAACTTCCCCCTTCAGTTCCAAGGACTGAACCCAGAGCCCTGTGCACACTAGGAAGACTGAACCCAGGGCCCTGTGCACACTAGGAAGACTGAACCCAGGGCCCTGTGCACACTAGGAAGACTGAACCCAGGGCCCTGTGCACACTAGGCAAGCAGCCTACCACCAAGCTATAGCTCCAGCCCTATTTCTGAGACTGGTCTCAGTAAGTTGCCAAGGCAGGCCTTAGATTTGCCATTCTCCTGCCTCAGCCTCTTGAACAGCTGAGATGACAGGCCTGATCACTGAAGCCTCTAAGGAAATGGCAGCACCCTCCAGCCTGGGACCTGCAGTGCTTTTGATGTCTGTCTTTGCCACCTAGGACTTCTTCCTCAGTTTGCAGCCTGCACACACTGGTGAGCAGTCAATCTGTGCCATCAGTCTTTGAGAGGAGGGTCTTAGAGACCAGTTCTATTGCTTCAGGATCCTTCCCAAGTGCCCCAAACAGAAGGCCATTTGCCTGACTGCCAGGGGCTGGCAGTTGATGGCCTATCACTTCCCGATGGTGAGGGAGCAGCTTCTTCCCTTAGCCCCTGCTATGTCTTCAGAGCTTGCTTCTCCGGTTACATGGCACTCACAGCCAATGGTTACACAGACAGCATCTTTGCTGCTACCTCTCAGAAATGGAAACCCTCGGGGGAGCATTGGCCTACTAACTTGGCTTCGGCCATCTTCACTCATGCATCTCCTTTTGGAGCTGTCAGCCAGCCACAAGAACACCATAATTGACTGTGTTTGCTCCTTTGCTGCTTGAATAACACAGGGGAATTATCCTTTGTCAATCCCTCCTTCAAAGTCTTTTTAGGGAAGTCTTATTTTAACCAGGAATAGCCAGATTCTAGACTATTAAGCTGCTTCAACTCTCACAAGAGCTGTACAAAAAAAAAAAAAAAGTGTCTTCTACCTCCAAAAGCCATTAGAGACTTTCTTCTTATTAATAAGACACCCAGAACACATACTATTCCACAGAACTAAAAGGACCAATTTCTCTCCTGGAGCAGAGTGACAATCGTCAGGCACTCATTAAATTAAATGAGCAATGACTCTTTCCCGATTTGTTTCTCGGTGAATAGCTGAGGATCTTGGCTTTTCCAAGGCTGCCTTCCATAGACCCTCCATAGATCCCTGTGGACCTGGGTAACTGTTAGTATGCCACACAGATAAGCCTGGGCTCCTCAGTACCCAAGATGGCTAGCCTTTCTGTGTCTTCCAGTCAGTTCCTATCTTGTTAATACATTTTTTTTCTTAAAATAATAATTTTGAGATCTGTGAGACAGCTCATTCTGCAAAAGTATACCTGCCACCAAGTCTGATGGCCTGAGTTTGATCCCTGGGACCTACATGGTGGAAGGAACCAACTCACACAAAATGTCCTCTGGCCTCCATATGCTTCTTTGCATGCAATCTAAAATTCAAAATAAGCCCATACCTTTAATTCAGTACTTGGAAGGCAGAGGCAGAATGATGTCCAGGAGTTCAAGGCCAACCTGGACTACATACTGAGCTCCAGGCCAGTCAAGGCTACATAATGAGAACCTCCCCGTCGCCCATTTCAAAAAACAAAAATTAAAGTAATTTCATCCCTAAAATATAAGAATAATTGACTGATTTTCTAAATATTTTCTTTCATTTCAAGGGTTTCAGGGGACATGGGTGCTCATATTCTAGTTGGCACAGCAATTCCAAAAGGTGGCCTACCACAGTTACATAAGGTGTATTTATGCTGGGGTTGTGACAATTACACCCACAGTTGCCTTGGTTTTTTAAGAAGATTTAATTCCCTTGGTTGAAACATAGGTGAAAGACTCTATTTTCTGGAACTAATGATTAAGGAGTAAAGTAAGAGAGACTACAGATAATAGCAGACACTCTGTCCCGTGTTCAAAGGCACTTACTCCACTTCGGCACTTCTGCCCGTGACTGTATGCTGGAACAGCCCACTAACCTCTGGCCCCTCAGAGGCAGGAGCTCCTGAAGGTAGGGAGGGACTGAGTCCTAACTGGTGTCACACCTTCAGAGTCGAGAAGTGCTTCCCTTGATGTTGGTGTATTCAACATGGAAGTCTGCTTACTGTTATTCTGGTGCTGGTGCTGGTGTTTGAACCCAGCGTCTGGCTTATACCGGGCATGTATTCTACCATTGAGCTATACCCCCAGCCCCAAAAGTCTGCTTCTTAATTAGTTGCTTGAGATCAGCTGGTGAACATGCTGCTGGCATTTCTGAGTTTTAATCGGGCATTACTCTGGTTCTGACAGACAGGACCTCAAATATCCCATGAGCTCCACCTAAATATAGTTTTCTCTTGCACAAAGCAGCAGGAAAATGCTAAACTGGGGAGTTTTGAATGTTTTTGTGGATTCCAGTCTCTGCCACTAACTAAAATTGCTTTTGGCAAATCTAACCACAGTGGATCCTGTGTTTGAGATTCAAATGAGGAATGACACTAAATGGCCTCCAATCACTCACTGGGCCCAGCTCTAAAACTGATGAGGCATGCATGCATGAGTAATGGCAGAGTGGCAGAGTGGCACATGTTAACACTAGAGGGCGCTACACTGGTGTCGTCACAGGGGGTTCAGGTCAGGAAATTGCAAGAAAAAGATCCTCCTTTCTCCCCAGATTTAATGTCCTAGAGACAGAACCTTAGGAATGTGACAGGCAAGCATTCCGCCACAGGTGTGCACCACCACCCTGACTAGTAGCTTCTCCATCATGACCTGGCTTGGCAGGCGAGTGGCAAGTTGATGAATTCAGCTATAATTATCATCAACATTCTTCTGCAGGATTTAAATGTTTCTCTCCCTTTATTTCCTCGGTTTGGGAATTTTCCATTCATTGCTCTTATTTGCTTCTTTGGTTTTTGAGACAGGGTCTTCTGTAGCTCAGGCAGACCGCCGACTCACTATGTGGACATGTGGACATCTCTGAGGTCCTCCTGATGCTTCTCCCTCCATCTCCTAAATGGGGGGGTTACAGGCTTAACATACTTTGTGGGACTTACTTTGCTCTTTGTTGTTGTTAGCTTAATTTTGTTGTTGTTGTTTTTCAAGATAGGTAGCCTTGGCTGTCCTGGAACTCACTCTGTAGACCTTGAACTCACAGAGATCCACTTGCCTCTGCTTCCTAAGTGCCGGGATTAAAGGTGTGCACCACCACCATCCACTGAATTTTTTTTTTCTTTTTTGATATATATATATATAAAAGGAGAAAGAACTCTTTAGGAATGGCTTAAAGCCAACTTGGTTCTCATGGAATTAAAATGAAGCCCAAACAGCCTGTGATAAAAGCCAGTGAAAAGAGCTTTTGGGGAAGAACCTGTGGATTGCTCAGTCTGTCAAGGGATGAGGTAAAAGAATCAGAGAAGGGAGGAGAAGAACAGGCACACTGAAGATGGGTGAGGCTGTGGCCATCGTTACACACTGTGATGGCTAATCTTGACTACATCTGGAATCAACTAAAACCAAAGCAACCGGGCACACTGCTGAGGGATTTTTTTTTTCTTGACTGGCTCATCTGAGGTGGGAAGACCCATGCTAAATCCAGACCATTTAATGTGATAAGACCCACCCTAAATCTGGGTCACATCTTCCTGAGTCAGGCTCTTGCTGGCAAGTTCATTCCTTTGCTACCTACTTCATTAGGATTCTGCATGTACTGAAAAGCAGCTGAGACATCCAGATTCATAGACTCAGCAGCTATCTTGGACTTTCCATCAAGAGTCAGCCAGTTGGACTAGCTGGACCACACAGTCTGTAAGCAATTCCAATAAATACTTTTAATATATACACATTCATTCAATCAACTCCATTCCTCTAGAAAACCCTAATATGAATGCTGACTCTCTCTACCTCTGGAAAAGATCCTTGGCCTTGAAATAGTGTGACCTAAACCATCCACAAACAAGGGAATCGTCGAAAGTCTGTTTCTCTTTGCCCAGAGTGGCTATAACAGGTAGTGTGCAGTAGACAGAGAAATGCAGGACAGAACTTCTTGCATTTCTACCTCCTGGATTAATGTGATTCAGAACAGTAAGGCCTTGGCAGTCAGACACCGACTCCCTACTTTCAGGACACAGACCACTCCTGAGTGAAAATAGACAGTAACCTTGAAGAGCAACTCTCTGGGTGAAGGGGAAAAAAAAATGTACTAGATCAAAACAATTTTTTTTCCCTTAAAAAAATGCAAACTTAAAAGCCGGGCATTGGTGGCGCATGCCGTTAATCCCAGCACTCGGGAGGCAGAGGCAGGTGGATCTCTGTGAGTTCGAGGCCAGCCTGGTCTCCAGAGCGAGTGCCAGGATAGGCTCCAAAGCTACACAGAGAAACCCTGTCTCGAAAAAACAAAACAAAACAAAACAAAACAAAAAATGCAAACTCATACCTCTAGCAAATAAAGTAAAAATTCAGTATGTTCAAATCCAGTATCAAAGTAGCTAGGAAATGTTACTCTTCCTTAAATCACGAATTTCAAGTATTCTAAAGGTACCAAGAGGAAGGATGGATGGACAATCTATGGACCCCCTACACCTCTCTATCTCTAACATACATCCTTTCACGAAAAGCAGGCAAAAACACACTGCGGTGTTTAAAGGCAATGGCTTGTCTTCTCCCCCACTCAGGCATGCCCCAAAGGCTTCCATGCTCCTGCATCACACTGACCTTTAAAATGTTCCGGCCATCAAATGATTCTCTTTCCTTGAAGATATATTTGCCGTCTGCTGTGTAGAGATTGTACCTGCCTTCAGCTGTAAATAATCCAGACAATGCAAAAGGAACATGAGAAGTGTGTTTGTGCCTCTCTCTTGAGCATCTATAGGGCCACAGGCCGACCAGCAAGCTTTCACCTCCCGCTAGAAAGCAGCACAAGGTGGGGAAGAGCAGCTAATGGTCAAGAGATGAGGCTTCCCAGGCTGCATTCTCCAAGCCCTAACTGTATGCATGCACTGGGTAACTAATGAGCTCCTCCTCGGATCTCAGTTCTCCACAGACAAAGTCAGATGTTGAGACTAAGCCACCTCCAGGTTCCTACAAGCCCAAAATAAATGGCATGTGATTTTAATTATGTTAAAATACACAAAAACTCACATATAAACTATTCACAATTGCTGGTGTCCAGGATTTGGGTAGACTTAGGGACTACCTCCAAATGGGGTGTGGGGACTTTACTACCATTAAAGATATCCTTATATTCCACACAGGAAGGCAGCCTGTCCATGACCTTGGCCTAAACAAAACTGTACTCCAGTTGACTAAGTTAATTTATGTTGCACGTCCCAAAAGATGTCCTTAAAGGGCAGCCAGAAGAATATCAAAGGGAAAGGAGACAGAAAAAAAAAGTAATATATCTTTTCATGTCCTTTTCAAGTAAAAAAAATTCAATACAGAGAAGAGCACAGGGAAGGGAAAATTCAAAGGACCCTCAAGCATCACTTAACTTTCAGAATGTTTTTGACCGATAACTCTTTCCTGCCCACTGACAGGCCTTTACAAGCACTCAGACTTTTACTTTCCAGTATGCTCTTCCGTTGTTCAGGTCTGAAGAGTCTCAGGTCAGAGCTGAAGGACTCGCCAGAGTTCGAACAACTCCATGAACATCACACATTTTAGCTATGTGTGGGGGGACAATGGACCTACCCCAGATGAGAAATGTTGGAAACAAGACCCCAACCTCAGGCATACTCTACAACTTAAAAAATAAGTTCTGAAAGCCAGACTCAGTGGCACACACCTACACAGCCAGCACTTGGGATGTGGAAGCCAGAGAAGAGTTCAAGGCCACCTCCTCTGCATAGCAAATTTAAGGCCAGCCTGGGTTACATGAGATCCTATCTCAAAAGCACAAGCAAAGCAAACATAAAAAGCTTCCCTGCTAAGAAAAAAGAACACAAGCAGTTTGGAATGAAGTAAATCAATACAAAAAAAAAAAAAAAAAAAAAAAAAAACCAAAAAAACCCTGTAAACAAAACAAAAACAACTATTACAAAGTAGGAATTGTGGGCAGGGAGAGAGCCCGGTCAGTAAAGTGCTTGTCTTGCACCTGAGCCCAATCCTCAGAACCCATGCTATAAAAAAGAAGAAGAAAAAAGCTGGCATGGTGGGAGCACACTTATAATCTTACCCAGAGGGAAGCAGAGATAGGATCTTGGGTTCATTAGACAGTTAGACCACCCTACTTAGTGAATTTCAGGAAGTGGGAGGGAGACCCTGTCTCAAAAACTAAGGTGCACAGTACCAAGGGAGACTGAGATTCTTCACTGTTTAGGTTAAATTTACCTGGGCATCTTAAATCCTTCTTGGGAGAGGCATGCTAAGGATTGGAAGTAGGATCTCATGCATACTAGGCAAGCACTCTGCCCCTAAACTGCACCCCAACCCTCATGGCGTATTTTTGTTTGCAAAATCTGACAAGCCCATGTGTGACAGAGCTGAGTGCCGTGCTTGGTATGCCCCTTCTGCTGGGTTCATTAGAAGAAAGGTAGATCAGAGATTCTCGATGGTCACAATCCTGCTGCGGCTCCGGGAGGACTTACCATTGGGGTCTTTCCTGAAGAGTGTGTTCATGACCGTGGCGTGCAGTTTCACACTGTTCCAGTCTTTCACTATTAGTCCCAATGCCTGAAAGCGCTCCAGCACTCGGTCAACTAGTTCCTGCAGCCTGGAGAGGTTGAACACCGAAATCTTAGTGAACACAACCGGACCACCAACTCAACAGGCACGCAGTGTGCGCTCTGTGCCAGTCATGGGACGAGGCTGCAGTCCCCACAGAGCTCACTGTCTGATCAAGAAGGCAACCTTGGGAACAAGTCACTGCTGGTTCTCTGCTGGCACAAGCCTGTAATGCCGGCACCCAGGAGGCTGAGTTAGGGTTCATAACATTTATTCTTATTTCCTGTTTGTTTGTGAGTCAGGCCTCACTATGTAGCATTGGCTAGCCTAGAACTCTATGTGGACCAGACTGGCCTGAGAGTCAAGAGATCAATCAGCCTACCTTTGCTGGGATTTAAATATGTGCACCACCACACCTGGCAGGATCATAAGTTTGAGGCAAACATGAGATACACTTGAGTTCCAAGGCAGCCCAGGTCACAAAACAAGACCCTGGGGAGGGGTATAAGGAAAAGAGACATCACTGTGATGCAGTATGGTTTTATGAGAGTGATCAACTACATAGAGACAGATGTCAACATGTTCTTAAAGGATTGATAAAGATTCACAGACAAAACCAGAAAAAAGAAGGGCACTCCAAGCAAAGAAAAAGCAGAACATGCAAGACCCCAGTGATGCAAGGCCATAGCAGACGGCAGCCTGCTGGCTACTGGACACATCTGGGACAGAGGAAGGGGGGCGGGACCTGGGACAGAGGAAGGGGGGCAGGGATATGAAGTAGTGGCCAGACCACAGAGAGTCAGACTTTTAACGGGGAATCAATGCTGTGACCTAATGTCCATTTCTGAACTCTGACTCTGGCAAATAGAAAATGCTTCCAAAGTGGAGATGGGAAGGGAAAAGGTCAGTGGCACAGGACAGGCTAGGTGGCTTCTTCACTGGAGAAAGAACAACAGACAACACACTGGCCATGGCACTGAGCACTCTGTATCTGCTAAACCACTTCACCCTCACATCACATCCTTACCCCTAGTTTACCAATGAAGCAGCTAAGGAAAGGAAAGTTACAGAACCTGGGCAAGGTCATGTAACTACTAAGTGGCAGACCCAAATGTACTCCTCCCTTTCTCTCTCTCACCCTTCCCCTCCCCACCTCCCTTAGGGACTGGGAAGATGCTCAGTGGTAGAATGGTGTGTACTAGGCCCCAGACTAAACCACAGCACTGAAACAATTTTTCTATTGACAAATGTCTTCTTTCTTTTTCTGTGTGTGTGTGTGTGTGTGTGTGTGTGTGTGTGTGTGTGTGTGTATGTGTGTGTGTGTGTGTGTGAGAGGCGGGGGAGGAGGGGAGAGAGAGAGTGCACCTGAGCAAACAAGCCAAGTGTACCCACATGTGTGACAGTACAAGTGTGGAGGAGGGGTCAGAGGACAACTTGGGGGAGTCAGTTCTTTCCTTCCACCATGTTGGTTCTGGGGATTGAACTCAAAGTTGTCAGGCTTGGCTGCAAGCACCTTTACCCACTGAGCCATCTCACATAATTTTTCATAATTTTTAAGTTAGCATGCTAGGCAGTGGTGGTACATGCCTCTGATCCCAGCACTCTGTGAGTTTGAGACCAGCCTGGTCTACAAAAACTACTTCCAGGACAGCCTCCAAAGCCCAGAGAAACTCTATCTTGAAAAACAAAAAACAAACAAACAAAAAAATTAAGTTAGTTTATAGAATAATGAGTTTCATTATGGCATTTTCATATGTATATATATTTATCTTTATTATAGTCATCCTCTGGTTACCTGCCCTTATCCCTCCCCCCCAATCCATTTTAGTTCATTAAGATTTTAAAATGAGTTTTTAAAAGTCAGAGCAGGTCAGTCTACCTTCAGAGTCCACACTCCCAGGCCCCCACTATGAACGAGGAAATGATGAAGGCCTACATTCTGGGAGCAACGAGCAGGAACTCGGAAGAACTCAATGAGAAAAGTGGCACCCATCCCGACACACATGGCAGAGGTTAAGGAGAAAAGGGAAGTGAGGACAGTTCCCCAAGCCTGGAGATGGTGCCCAGCCAGGTCTCTAACCCACCAGGCAGCTATGAAGACTCATCTTAGTCGTCAGGGGACAGGGTTGACGAGGTGCCATTCTAACTGTACGGCACAGGATATCAGGCCTGAAGGACAGTTCAGTTCAGTGTGCTTTAGCCAATATGGAGACGCATGCGCTTGGAAGATGAAGGCAGGAGGTCAAGGTCCTCCTCAGCTACAAACGGGGTTATTAGCCAGTATATAGCAGTATGCTAGCCAGCCTGTGCTACACAAGACCCTATCTTAACAAACCAAAAAGAGCTGTGACAGCACAGGACAGGTGTAGCATGGAAGGAGGATTAAGAGCAAGCCAAGAGAAAGCTATGGACAGCCTTCTGGGATGCTGAGCCATGGAAAGGGCAGGGAAGGAACCGGAAGACAGCTGGTAAGGGTGAGAAAACAGGGAGAGGACCTCAGAGAGTCTGGAAGCAGTGCCAACACACACAGCCAGCACACGCAGCAGTGCGGGGCGCCTGTAGCAAAGCAGTTTGTTGGCACACCAGAGGCAAAAGTCTTATGACTGAGGACAGAGGAGGAATCAGACAGGGAGGTGGCAAGTCTCTCAAGACACTGGAAAGGAAGGAGAAATGCTAGTGTTCGGCAGGCCACAAGAAACAATGCAGGTTTCTAAGAAACTGGGAACTGAGGAACTAAAAGCATGACACCCAAAACAGGTAAAGGTGCAGTCTCAGGGTTCAGTTGCCACGACAGAGGTGGGGATGGGGAGATGTGCCTCCACGCTTGTTCTCTTAAACTGTCTCCTGAGTTACCAGACTGGCAGTCATTAACTCAAAGATTCGAGATAATGGGCAATTTTACAGCAAAGAAATCCTATGGCATGCAGGTTCAGTTTCAAAAACCTGATGTAGGATTTCCAGGCATCTAAGCATACTGACATGAGTATCTCAGGGCCACCTCACCAGAACTGAAGAAAAGACTGAATTGGGTGACTGAATTGGTGAGTTTGATGCCAACACCAAAAAAAAAAAAAAAAAAAAAAAAAAAAAAACAAAACAATGCATATGCCTTTACTCCCAGCACTCAAGAGGTGGAAGTATGGGGGGGTCAGAAGTTCAAGGTCATTCTTGATTACATAGCAAGTTCAAGGCCAGCTTGGGTTATGAGACCCTGTCTGAAAAAGAACTGATGGGTAGTGTAATGTAATTCTATTTGTTTAAAACAATACACACAGACAATGACTCTTGGAGGATTTTACTCTGGGAAGGAAAACAAGGAAACAAGGGGGGCTAAGTTAATCTTTACTTAATTCATCTGTTAAAAAAAAAAAGTACTGAGATGTGCAGTTATAAACCTTAACCTCAAAACATATAAATGCAACTCTATTATTTGCCAATTCTCAACAACTAGACTATCCCTACTTCTTTTTTGCTTTGCTTTTATTTTTCAATTGCATTTATTTATTTAATTGTGAACATGATGTGGAGTTCAGAGAATAATGTGAGAATTTGGTTCTCTTCTTCCTCCACATGGGTCCTAGGGATCAAACTCAGGTCCTTCCGCTTGGTGGCAGGAGCCTTTGCCCACTGAGCTTGAACTCACAGTGTAGCTAAGACTGACCTTGAACTCCACCTTGGTTTCCCTCCTGAGTGCTGGCATCACAGGAATGTGCCACTGTGGCCAGCAAAATCCTTTCAAGCACGTATTTCGATACTGTTTTTAAATCTGACAGGAATATTATAGATCTCCTGGTCTGAGTTCACCTTTGTATTCCTGATATAAACTAGCTTAGTCATCTCTCTACCCTCCACTTTAAGAAAAATGCCAAATCAAGCAGATTTTACCTTTTGCATCCAATTATTGATTCCCATGGCCACTGCTCTAATTTGGGCCATCTTGCTTCTCCCAGGCTATTGTAATGGCTTCTAAATACCCTGCTCCTGTTCCTACTGTAATGGCTCCTGCCCTGGCTTTCCCTTTCAGTTATGAATGCAGCAAATGACTTGTTTTAAATTCATAGGAAACAACATGAGGCAATGTGGCTTCTACAAAAAATACTGTCTGTACAAGACCCAGTCAGCCCCATTCTCGCATGAAGGGGTGGGTAAGGGAGTCACAAGCCTAACTGGAGAGCCCTGGACAGCTGATGGCCACTGTGGAAGGGAGAGTTAGAGTTCTTTAAGGGTGCAGCTAACAATAGGTTGACCATGCTCCAGCAGATGGCTGTACACACAGGAGTCTCGGGGCAGCATAAACTGGACTATTGGGTTATTTTTAACAAAGGGGTGGTGGAGAGAAGGCTCAGTGGTTAAGCACTGGCTGCTTTCTCAGAGGATCCAGGTCCAGTTCCCAGCTCCCACCTGGAGGCTTACAACCATCTGTAACTCCAGTTCTATGACTCTTCTCCTGGTGTCTGAGGGCACCAGGCACACATGTGGTACATAGACATACATGCAGGCAAAACACCCACATACATAAAATAAAAAAAGTTAAAGCATTTTTTTAAAAAAGTGGAAAAGAAGTAGGGGAGGGAAATACACAAAAGGAATAAGGGGGAAGAGATAGGAGAGGGATATGATCAAAACACATTGTATAAAATTCTCAAAGAACTAACAACAACAACAAAAAAAGGTTTTAAATGGCATCTGTGGTGGTTTGAATGGGAATGGCCTCCATAAGCTCAGATTTGAATGCTTAGTCATTAGGGAGAGGTACTACTTGAGAGAGGTTAGAAGGTGAGACATTGATGGGGAAGTGTGTTGCTGGGGGTGGGTTCTGAGGTTTCAGAAGCCCAAGCCAGGCCCAGTGGCTCTCTCTGTCTGCTGTCATCTGATCTGGATGTAGAACACAGCTACTACGTCTGCTGTGTCTGCCATGCTCCCCACCATGATGCTGATGTACTAAACCTCTGAAACTATAAGCAACCCCAATAAGTACTTTCCTTTAGGAGAGTTGCTGTGGTCATGGTGTCTCTTCACAGCAATAGGACATGGACTAAGACAGCATCTATTATTGAATACATAAATCTCTTACAGTTTATGATTTCCTACAAAAAGCTCTTGGGTATGTTTTATCATATATTCCTAATTATCTTATAATTTGTTGAATAATGAGTACATAGTTTTATTAACTTTGTATCTTTTTTGTTTTGTTTGTCTTTTTGTTTTTGTTTTTGTTTTTGTTTTTCTGAGACAGGGTTTCCTCTGTGTAGCTTTGGAGCCTGTCCTGGAACTCATTCTGTAGACCAGAATGTCCTTGAACTCACAGAGATCCGCCTGCCTTTGTCTCCCAAGTGCTGGGATTAAAGGCATGCGCCACCACTGCCCAGGTAGTTTCTTAGCTTTTAAATGATGTTTTCTGTTTGCTTACAACTATAATTCTTATATTGACTTTATACAATCTTACTAAACCAAACCAAACCAAACAAACAAAAATGCCTGACTATGTAGGCCTAACTAGCCTGAAACCTCCATATAGGCTTAAGTGTGAGACCCTGTCTCAAAAGTAAATACATTAGTTAATAAATGAGGTAGAGAATAACAGAGAAAGATACCTTCTGTATGTGTATATGGACGTGAACACACACACACACACACACACACACACACACACACACACACCACTTTATAAAGGGCCATCTCTTCCTTCTGTATCAATCAGCACAGCCCTCCAAACTTCCTAGCACAAAGGAACATTCCAGAAGGTTTACAAGTTGACCTAAACAAGGGCATTAGAATACATATATCTCTTTTAAAGTATACATTTGGGAAGGGGGAATTTATAAATCTCGAAGTAACACACATGGCTCTTCCTGTGAGCAAAAACAGACAATAAAAAGTCAAGATAGAGCAGTAAAGGAGATGGGAACGACTCAAAAAAAGTTCTTGATTGATCATGTTAGTGGACTCAATAAGAGTTCTCCTTTCAATTCACAAAGCTTTGATAAAAGGAAGTTAGACAAATGTGTAAAACCTGGCTTTGTGGGGGAAGTTACGCTGAACTGGCCCCTGAGACCTGAGCTCTCCATTAGTGAGAGGACAGATCGAGTGTGAGAACTGTCTTCAAAAGAAACTCACTTCAATGGGTTTTCATTCTCAAACCTGTTATCCTCTGCATGTGAAGACCTACAGAACGCAGGGTCTCAGCAGCAGGAAAAAGGGTAAACACCAGTGAAAACCCTCAAGGCAGTAACTCCATCATCTTTTTTTAGCTCTTCTATGTTTCCCTCTGGAAGCCATAAAGAACAGAGTGAACCAAACTGACTGGTCTCTGCCTCATGTGCCTTAAACAGAGCTGAAGCACAGATGAAGAAATTTTCATTATTGTGTAGACTCAAACCTACAATCTCAAGTAATTTTCCATATGCCTCCTGTTACCTGTGTGCTTACTAGTCAGCGCAGATTTTAGTCTCACAGCAGTGAGTTCTAAGTGTGTATCTGCACACCAGCCTCTAATGTGCACAAATATTGCAAAGATCATATGAAGAAAATATGAGTATATGTGCGGAAGGTACTGCTGGAGCACGGCTCAGTGGCAGAGCACATACTAAGAAGCACGCAGTACAACATATTCTTGCTGTTTTTACTGGAAGACATCTGTAATCATGGTGCAAACACAGTGGTGTAACCCAGCATGGCCACATGACCCTGAAATCCCAGCACTTAGCAGGCTGAGGCAGGAGGATTGAAAGTTTAAGGCTAGCCTGGGCTAAGCAGTGAAATACTGTCTCAAACTAATGAAGAAAGCAACGGCATGTAGAACTAACTGCTGCTCCCTCAGTCAGGGGACTGTGGTGCCATGAGTGTTTCACTAGTAACAGTCTTCAGTAAACATTTGCAGCTTGAAAAACTTCTATCTCATTTATCCTTGATAAAGCAGAAAAAGAATAAAGCTTTACTGAATTTTGCTCCTTGAGCACACAGCCTTTTAACATTCTTGTGGTGAAACTGACAGTATGTATGAAGCACTTGGCCTGTGCACCTAGCCAGACAGCTGTCGGAAGAACTGGGCACTGAACCAATGTCTGTCCACTTGAGAGAGCACGTGAAAGAACACTGACAGGCAAAATGTGGCTGATCAGGCTTGGCTATGTAGTAGGTATTTTCTTTATCTTTTTTGTTACGGCTTTTGTATTTTGAGATAGGCCCTCATTGTGTATGCTTGGCTGTCCTAGCACTCACTAGTTAGATCAGGCTGGCCTCAAACTCTCAGAGATCTATATGACTCTGCCTCCCAACTGTTGGATTTAAAGGCCTGGGTTACCATGACTGTCTTGTTCCTAACATTTTATGTAGCTTAATCTTAATAATTCCATGACAGTAAGACTTTTATCCCCCATTTTGTCTTGGTATTCATCAAATTACCGTCACATCACCTGTGAAACCCATCCTACAAGACCTGCCTTCCCACGTCCTATTATGACGATAAACACAGTCCATTTCCATAAAAAACTGACTGTTATGGTCAACACCCACTATTCAAAGAGTCTTTCAGGCTAACAGTTGGACATTTTCTCCCATAACCAACTCTTCTCTGACTGTGGTAGCATCCTTGCTTTAATGAATAAAGAGCCAGGCATGTTGGTGCACCCATATAATTCTAGTACCTGGAAGGTTGAAACAGAAAGGTTATGAGGTTGAGGTGATGCCCTGCAAGCCTAGAAGGGCCTAGAAGAGCCCCGAACTTCTAGTTCAAATATGTACACCTTAAAAACCTACCTGTTGGAGCCATCTTTCATATGGACTTTGGCATAAAGAACATCCACCATACCAGGATCGTCATTCATGTACTCGATCCCTGCCATCTCTGCTTCCAGAGGTTTGCCACCAGAAATGTCACTGCCAAAGAAAAATACATTAGATTTTCACAGCTGTGTAAGCAAAGAAGGCTGTATATTGTAAAAGATAGTTAATATGCATAGTCAAGTAGTATAAGAACAGACCTTGGGGTTCTAGCTGTCTTTCTCATTTCAAGTTACTAAATGGCTAAAGCCCACACCTGCAAAATACAGCAGAGTATTTTCAGCACCATAGCATGTTCCAATACTCACTAATGAGACCTAAGACAGAGCCAAGGAATGGCATGATTGGTAACAACAGTCTACTGTAATGGCCCTTCTCTCAAAAGCCCATCTCTCTCCATTATTTCTACAGTTACAAGAGATTTTCACTCACTAGATGTGCATACCAATAACACATATACAGGATCACCTGTCCACACTAATGAAAAGAGTCTATTAGGGGAGAGTTTTAATATAGATTGAAGCAGAGGCATTAAAGGGGAGAGGGAAAAAGAGGGGGCAGGCAAGACTAGAAAAATGATAGTACACACTAATATGGGTACAGGCTTCTCAAGAGAAGTCACTCTAAGTGTCTAAACAAAAGCCATATATGAAGTTGGTGTCTTTTGAACTTAAAACACATGACCAAGGCAACTTAAAAAAGAAAAAAGGAAAACATTTAACACTCATGGTTCTAGAGTGTTAGTCTAGGACCATCATGGAGGGGCACATGGCAGCAGGCAAACAGGCAGGCATGGAACAGTAACAGAGAGTTTTCATCTTGACCAACAAGCATGAAGCAAAGAAGTAACTAAAATGGCATGGGCTTTTGAAACTCAAAGCCCACCATAGTGATACACTTTCTCCAACAAGGCTACACCTACTAATCCTCCCAAACAGTTCCACCAACTGGGGACCAAATAGCCAAACATATGAACAGTGTATGGAGGCCATTCTCATTCTTGCCATCACACACTGCTTTAAATGTTTCTAAGGAATTTCCTTTGGTAAATGAGATCATAGGACAGTCCCAAGGTCCACTAGACAGGATTACAACAGGGAAAAAGAAAACCACAGGGCATAAGTGTTGAAGGAATCCTTATTATACTAAGTCCAGAGACAGGTTTTCACTCTAAGAACATTTCTTAGTTAGGGTTTCTATAGCTGTGAAGAGACACCATGATCACAGCAATTCAATTCTTTTTTTTTTTTTTAAGATTTATTTATTTATTATGTATACAGTGTTCTGTCTGCATGTGTTCATTTTGGATGGTTGGGAGCCAGCATGTGGTTGCGGGGAATTGAACTCGGGCCCTCGGGAAGAGCAGCCAGTGTTCTTAACCTCTGAGCCATCTCTCCAGCCCCAGAAATTCAATTCTTATAAGGAAAACATTTAATTGGGGTGGTTCATTTACAGTTTCAGAGGAGAGGTTCAGTCCATTATCATCATGGCGGGGAACATGGCAGCATGCAGGCAGACACGGTGCTGGCTACATCTTGATTCGAAGGCAACAGGAAGTGAACTAAGTGTCATACTAAGGGAAGCTAGAGCAAAAGAGACCTCAAAGCTCACTATTACAGCAACACACTTCCTCCAACAAGGCCACACCTACTTCAACAAGGCCACACCTCCTAATAGTGCCACTCCCTTTGAGGGGCATTTTCTTCCAAACTATCCGTAATCTTGTTTGTGATTACTTTGAAAAAGTTACAGGTTTACAGCTGGGAAAGGAAGAAGGTTAAATTTAGGACTCTTCATTGATATTGTAATATTCCCATTTGAAATGCTTCTATATAGAAGAAAAAGAATAGTCAGGCAGTGGTGGCACACACCTTTAATCCCAGCACTTAGTAGGCAGAGGCAGGTGGATCTCTGAGTTTGAGGCCAGCCTGCTCTACAGATTGAGTACCAGGACAGCCAGGACTACATACACAGAGAAACCCTGCTGTGGTGGTTTGAAAGAAAATGGCCCCCAAAGGGAGTAGCACTATTAGGAGGTGTGGCCTTGTTGAAGTAGGTGTGGTCTTTTGGAGGGAGTGTGTCTTTGTGGAGGTGGGCTTTGAGACCTCATATAAACTCAAGCCACACCCAGGGACAAAGACCGCTTTCTGCTGCCTACAAGTCAAGATGTAGAACACTCAGCTCCTTCTCCAACACCAAGTCTGCCTGCACAACACCATGGAGCAGCATGATGATATTGAACTCACTCTCTGAAAATGTAAGTCTCCCAAATTAAATGTTTTTTCCTTTATAAGAGGTGCCATGGTCATGGTATCTCTTCACAGCAACAGAAACCCTAAGACACTTGGAAAAAAAAAGAAAAGAAAGAGAAAAAGAATACTGTTTTTATGTAGGCAATCTTCATAGCAAATCTTGTTAATTGTTAAAATTCTTAACTTTAAGCTAGCAAGATTCCAACCAGACTCTTGTTAATTGTTAAAATTCTTAACTTTAAGCTAGCAAGATTCCAACCAGACTCTTGTTAATTGTTAAAATTCTTAACTTTAAGCTAGCAAGATTCCAACCAGACTCTAGAGTGAGAAGGTTCTCCTCCCCCCCATCCAAATGTTTCCTACTCTGAGACTTCAATCCCTTAATCTTAAAGCTGGCTGATGACTAAAGACCCATTCGTCATGATTTTCAAGTGCTGAGCCGGGATACAGACCCTACCTCTCCAGGGACTAAGAGTTTCAACCTGTTTGATCTAAGGGAGCATGAGAAGGTCCAGCCTTGGAAACTGAAAAATGGTCATTAATGGGAATCAACAGTGGCCTAGAATATTCTCACTATCGTGTTTTCTTCCCAGCTCCCTCTATCAGACATATACTTCAACCAGAAAGAGCTTCTTGCCCATCTGAAGCCAGGAAAGCCCCACTCATTTATAGTGTTCCCTAAGCATCATATAGCTAGGCCCCACCATCTGGGGAAAGCTGCTCTACAATGCTGAGAGGAAGGCAGTCACAGCCTGCCATCTCACAGCCTCTTCTGGGCTCTACTGGGAGCCCTGAGACCTGCTCCTTAGGTCTGCCTTGCAACTTAGCTCCCCATGGGAAGCCACTTGACTGTCATGGTTCCCCACAGCTTACTCCTTTTGCCACTTCCAAGGCCTGCAGATTGTGATCATCAAGCTGGATTCAGCTGGGAAGACTGCCCTCCTTTAGGATTTGTTCTGAGTGTCCCCACCAAGGCCTTCAACACTCAAAAGGTCCGAGGGCCCTTGGGTGGGGGATTTCCTGTGGTATTACCTTCCAAGTGGGAGATGTTAGAGGTCAGAAGGAGCTGCAACAACTGGGGTACTCTTACTGCCTGAAAGACAGGCAGTCTCATGTTGTGGTGCAGTCTCTACAGAGACAGGGTGGCTGGAGGAGGCCAACATGGAACCACTCTGAATCAACAGGGCCTCGGACAACCAGGGGGCCCCAGTACTGGCCAAGAAACAAGACCAGCCTGGGGCACTGAGTGCAGTGGCACCCAAGTGCCACCCATGTGCCAGGCTGCAGGGCTATGGACAAGCTGGGCTTGCAGCCATGCCTGGAACACCATATGAGATCATCCTGAACAGGAAGGTAGCTTGAGCAGGCAAAAAAAGATGGTGACCTGAGACTGTACCCAACCAACCAACATTTAGGGCACTGCTCAGAAGTCTCCCTGGATCTTTCACAAGCTCACAAAAGGCCTGAAACCTCATCAGATATAGTATGTCTCCATTCCAAGTACTGATTAGGAAATTCAATATGAGAGGCAGCCATTCTATTCTATCTATCCAAGTCCATGCAAGAAAACTTGCTTTAACAATTATACTAACTGCACCACACACACCATTTTTTTTTTAAAGAGATAGGGTTTCAATGGGCATAGTATGCACACACCTTTAATCCCAACACTTAAGAGGCAAAGGTAAGATTTCTCTGAGTTGGAGGCTAGCCTGGTCTACACAGCAAGTCCTAGGCCAGCCAGAGTTATACAGTGAGACCGGTCTCAAAAACAAAAACATAAAGAGAAAGGGTCTTATCAAGTCACCAAGGCTGGCCCAAATTTCTGAACTAAAACAGTCCTCTTGCTTTAGTCTTCCAGCTGAGACCAGAAGCATGTGCTGTTCCTAGCTTTTTTTTTTTTTTTTTTTTTGGTTTTTCGAGACAGGGTTTCCCTGTGTAGCTTTGGAGCCTGTCCTGGCACTCGCTCTGGAGACCAGGCTGGTCTCCAACTTACAGATATCCGCCTGCCTCTGCCTCCCAAGTGCCTCTGGCTCCCGAGGGATTAAAGGCGTGTGCCACCAACGCCCGGCTGTTCCTAGCTTTTCTTATGCTTTTAAAATTAACCCTGGTGGAACTGGTGAGATGGCTTAGCAGATGTATATGCAGGGCAAGTCTAAGGACTTAGTTTGATCCCTAGAACTCATGTAAAAAAAAAAAAAAAAAAAAGCCAGATGTACTGGCCTACATCTGTAATCCCAGCATTCCCATGGCAAGATAGGAGAGGGAAACAGGACAATCACCCAAAAGCTCCCCTCATTGGCCAGCTAGCCTGGAGTATCAGCATAGCAGAAACAACCTCAATAAAGTGGAAGGAGGTAACAGACTCCTGAAACCTGTCATCTGACCTTCACAAGCATGCCATGGCACATGAAACTCCCCCCACCCCACACAAACAAAAAACTGAAAAAAAAAAAAAAAAAGAAAAGAAAAGAAAAACTAGTCCTGCACAGTTAGATCAGCACTACCATGTTTTTACTAGGTTATATTTAATGCTTCTTGTGAACCTTTTTACCACCTGCTCATCATCATTATATTAAGATTTGTTGTGTGATGTTTTGTTTGTGTTCTGACAAATAAAACTTGCCTGGATTTCAGAGGGTGGAGCTAACCACTAGTTAGCCATAGAAGCTGGGCGGTGGTGGCACATGCCTTTAATCCTAACACTCAGGAGGTGGAGATGGGAAATGGTGTGGTGGGGTGGAGATGGGACCTCAGCCTTTTTGGACAGAGGAACAGAGAGAGGTAGGAAGCAACTGTCGGCTGCTCCTGGTTCTCTGGTCTTCCAGGTTTTTAACCCCAAGA